CACACTCACCACCGGCCTGTGCCGAGGACCCGCACGGGCGGGATCTGCGGCTCATGAGAGAAACCATCAGCGGGACTTTTCTTTAAAACCTCGCCAGCACTTGACCACACTTTCATTTCTTAACAAACCCTCCCTTCCTCAATATAAACACATGTTTATTCATCAGAAGAAGAGAAAGTGAGAGCGTGTTCTGTGGGAAGGAGAGGATGAGATGTGTTTAAAATACCGGGACGCCAACCAGCACGGGTGTCGTCTCCCGAGACTTTGTACCCGCGGCAGCAGGTGTCTGTCAGAGGGGAAACCGGCGGCAGGGCGCCCGGGGGCCTTCGGCAGGGCTCAACCGCAGGAAGGCACTTACCTAGGCCGCGGGTGGAAAAGAGGGAACCAACCCCGGCACCACGCAAGTTTTAGGGAAGTCAGCCGTTTGCTCTGCGAGCCCCCAGAGCACCTTCCCACGGATCCGTCTGTCCATCTGTCCGTCCAACAGACCTGACGGGCTGCAGGAGCATCAGGTCCTCCTGCCGGCGGGCGTGCCGTTTGCTCTCGGCCGCTGCAGGTCGTATTTCACGGAAACAATAAGGAAGAGCAGGAGGGTAGCGCCTTGAATAGCGGCCAGAAGAAAAAAGTAATAGTTCAAATAGCAGCCGTTGATGTTGCCTAGAGACAAGGAAAGAGAGCAGCACGGAAGCCGCACTTAGAGAGAGTCTAAAAGGTTTTACTTATTTAACTTGGTTCCTACGAAGGTCAGGGTGACTTTTAACTGTGGTCATTAAAAAAGAAAAACAAGGAAGAGAGAAAAGAATCCTACCCCTAATTCAAAATACACAAGTGCTTTGTTTCCAAAGCCACTGTGAGTCAGCTGCGTCTCAACACGGGCTCCGGGCTGGGGCCTCCTGCCCCCACACGATGAGAGGCCCCCACTGTCTCCACGTCAGATCCTGCGGCGGACGGCCCTCCTCGCCTGGGTCTACAGTCTGCACACGCGCCAAGACCGCGCGTTGGGCCAGGACGCAGCCTGGACGGCACGTCAGGTGTGAGTGCCGGACTCCCGTGTCGTCACCTGACATCAAACGAAGTACCGTCACAGGCCGGGACAGACGGCTGAACACACACTCCCCGCGCGAGGGGAAGGCACAAGCTTGCTTTTCACGTTTCTCCTTAAAAAGTTCAGGCTGCAGGCTGATACACAGGCGCCCACTTTAACCCTAAGAGCTGACACACTGAATGGCCGACTCTGGCCCGAGCACCACGCAAGGCGTCCTATGTGCGAGGCTCCGTTCAGTGCCCGATCAATGCTGAGGCGGCGGAGGTTAAGGGCATGGACCGTGGAGCTCCACCAAGGAGGCTCAAATGCCAGCGTCTTGGTCTCTGGGCCCAGGTTCCCTGCCTGTCAAATGTGCAGACAGCACCCGGGCCACGCGGCCGCCTCCTCTTCACGGGGCCCCGTTAGGAGCCCCAGTCCACACGTAGGTCCGGGGCCACCAGGGCTGTAAAGCTGCCATCTGTCCCCTGAGCAGCGGCCACGCGGCGTGGAGACGCAGGGCTGTGTGGAGGGGACACTGGGGCCGCACATAGCACGCCACCCCGGCTCCCAACAAAGACGGCGTCACCGCAACCCTGGACGGTCTACCGCTGACGCCGCTGGTCACCCACTGGAAAGGGCCGGGCACACTGCCGAACAGAGGGGCAGACAGGGGCGGCGCATCAGCAGCATCTCTGGAGGACGCTGGCGTCTTAGGAAACAGGCTGCTGTGCTCTCTGACCGGCTCCAAAAGCGTCTCCCATTGGCTTATTTAAAACGCCAGACTCCTTTCCTCTGAAGGTCTCGGTCAAGCTGGGTTATTCTGCAACTTCCTTTTTCTATCTGAACATATACTCATTAAAATCAGACGTTTAACACTGCTTTTGTTTAACAGAACTAACGAACAGATAGAATACACGTTTGTATAATAAGCACTCACACGTTTTTAAAGAATTCTCACTCCTTCAGGCTGTAGAAGACAGTGATTTCCTATGTTTGCTGCTCTGGGAAGAGATCCAGCACTACCTAGCATTTCTACCAGACCGTGTTATCTACTCAACAGTGGTCAGCGCTGGAAACAGTGGTTTGGTCCTGTTGTGGGCGGGCTCCACCCTGGACACAGCGATCCCGCCCCCTGGACCCTGGTTTGCAGACGCCAGCGCGGCAGTGCTGCTTGCTGCCGCCTCAGCGCGGCTGTCGTCGAAACACCACTCACGCCGTTTGCAGTGCCAGCTCTGAAACATCAATCTCCCCAAACTAAAAGTCATTTACAACTTCCAAAGCTCAAAGCCGGCAGGCCGAGCAAACTGTGCGCCGTGTCTTCCCTGCCAGGGCCCGTCGCAGCCTGGCGTTAGGAAGGGTTTGCAGAACTGGGCCCACCACCTAAAAGTGATCACCCTGTACTTTCTTGGGCCTCTTCACAGACAGAAGGTAATCGCATGTAAACACGGTAAACTCTGGGTGCTTCCTATTTGATAAGACTGACTCCTGGGCCCCAATAAACAAGCTTCATGTGTCCCCCAAACATATGCACAAGAACATTCCCAGCTGCTTTATTTGCGACAGCCTCAAACTGGAGACACCACGAACACCCACACGCAGCAGAACAGATAAATGAATTCTGACTTATTCGTACGACGGATACTCCACAGCAATAACAAAGAACCGATCACTGGGATGACTCTGAGAACGCAGTGCTGAGTGAAAGGCCACGGCCACAGACGAGAGAGGCCACAGGACTCAGCAGGGCCGACCTCAGAACAGAGTTCATCTTGCCGGGGGCCGGGGGCTGGGGGCTTAAGTCAGAAAGGACAGAAGGAACCCTTCCAAGTCCTGCATTTTGATCTGGACGAAATGCACACCAGGCTGTGCACTTAAGACCAGTGCCCTTCACAGTACGGACGTGATTCCCAGTCTAAATAATAATAATAACGAGGACAAGCAGGCCTGGGGCAGGACAGGGAGAGAAGAAAACAACGAGGGGAGAATCTGGGGACTCTTCCTTCAGACGTGGTCCTGGAACCTGACAGCAAGTTACCCACGTGTCAGTCAGGAAACGCTGAGCCAGCCCCACTGCCGCCGGAGCCCTAATGCAGGCAGGACCTGCCGAAAGGCAGAGCCGGGGAGAGCCCAGGACACAGAGAAGCCGCGAAATCTGGGATCACACCTGCTGCTCCTCCTACAGAAACAAGGATGTGGGGGCGGTGAGGAGGAGGTGTCACCTGTCCCATTCTCTCTCCAAACCACCGCCCGTGACAGCCACCTGCCCCTAACCACGCGGGAGCCGACCTGCCACGTCCTCTCACCTCACTGGACATGGGGCTCCGGGCAGAGGGACTGGAGGGAAAACAAGGAGAGGCCACCCTGCACTCCTGGACAGGGCAGCCGATCCAGGACACACGACAAGGTACTTCTCTTTCGTGAAAATAACACAACGAACAGAATCCAGGTCCAACATCTGTCCACGTGTGCCGCGTGCATCAATACCGGACATAAACCTCACAATGAAAAGTTTTAAAATTACCTGTCAGAAGTAAAGGATGAGTGACAGGTAAACTACCAGTTATTAAATTAGTAACGGCTGTGGGGGGAGGGGGTGGATTAAATCACTGGAAAGCAATGGGAATGACAGAAACCAATCGATCCTTTAAGATACACATGAAAGTAAAAACACAGAATCTATATCTCAAGAACTACCGAGGTGTGGTCCCGATAACAAGTCTTTCTTTGAAGGAGGTCTGTCACACGTACAAAACAGATTACGTGACACCAAGAGCGCAGGAGAACTCCCAGAACCCTGTGTAACTGGACTTACCCTCCGAGGGGCAGGAGTAATGAGCACAGCCCCCCTCAGCACAGCCAGGAGGGCCTGCCGCGCACACCACTGGCTCTCACAGCCGGACCAGCTGGACACATCACCAGTGGTGCCCGGGGGCAGCAGGGGCCCCGGTTTCTGGAAGCTGCATCAGGGGTCTCTGGGCCGAAACGCCCCCCTCAAGACGGGAATTTTAACTGAATCGTGGGAGGGCTTTTGGAATTCTGCAATTTCTGGAGAACAGTCTCTAAGCTTTCACCAGATTTTCAAGGGGATTTAGAACCTAGAAGTGGCTCAGTACCCAGGGGGTACTGAGCACAGAGAAGCCACAAAATCTGGGATCACACCGGCTGCTCCTTCTACAGGGGACGGCAAACGCCACACGCCTATGCAAGGAAAAGCAATATGGTGGTTTTTACTGGTACAACATACGAAGAAGCAGCACACCTGCACTCCTGGGTCTGCTTAAAGGCTACATCGACATGGAAGCAGCAAAGCTCTCATCCCTCGGGAGTGATTCTGCGCAAGCTGCCACCTACTGGCATTAGCTGTAAAACCCCATTAGGAGTGATAATGAGCCGTACTTGTTTTTAACAAGGCAACTTATTATCTCTCTTTTTTTTTCTTAACAGCAGGAAATTAAAAGGTACCGTCAGGAAAAGAAAAAAAAATACGAAAATAAGATACTGGGTTGGCCAGAAAGTTCGTTAGGTCAGTGAATATGTTGTTCAATAAAGTTCTTCATGAAAATGAAAAACGTGGCTTTACTTAAAACCGAACAAACTTTCTGGCCAACCTGATAAATGAAAGGAAATTTGTGATACAGATTTTATTTGCCTCATAATAAAATAAAACTAGTGCTGGACCTGAAGGTGGGAGGGTCAGTCTACTCATCACAGACGCTCCGAGAAAACAGCAGCCACAGAGCTGCTGCTGGAGGCCGACCTGGGGCAGGAGAGGCCCACCCGTCCCCAGGAGACCATCAGGGACGTGGGTAAACGAGGGCAGGCGGGTGGTCTGACGGGGCGCAGGGAGCAGGCCGGGGGCTGCCGGGGCAGCCCAGCAACGCCGACCGCGTCTGGTCCCGGGCGCCCCATGCGGCCCGAGGACTGGGGCGCTGGTCACTGCCGACGACGGGAAGGGGGGCCGCGAGGGGGGCCTTACCGAAGTCCGTGTGGCTGCTCATCCACCCGATGGCCTTGAGGGACACCAGTGCCAACAGTCCTGAGCCCACGAAGGACCCGACGCCAGAGAAGAAGAAAAACAAGCCCATGATGGCACTCTGCATGGACTTGGGGGCGGCCGAGTACGCGAATTCCAGGCCTGGGGAAGAAAAGGAGGGCATTTCAGGAAAGGAGCAGGGCGCCCGCGCCCGCGCCGCTGCCCTCGGACACCCGGGCTCTGGGGCGCGGCTCTGAGACAGCACCCAGGCTGGTTGCTCACCTCCTGCTGTCACAGCCCCTAGAAACTCCGCGAGGTGGCCAGTCACCTCCCGCCTTCACACTTGAAGGCAGCATTTGACTTGTCAGCTCTTGGAATTTCTCGTTCCTCATGGAAAGAAAGTTTGAAGAAGCAAAATTTGCCTACATTCTTAACTAACGGGAGTTTGCAAACAAAGCACTTACACTAAAATGGGGAAATCTACTCAGGATTTCTCTCTGAAAGGCCAGGTCTTTTAGAACAGTTTCAGCAGGTGCATCTATAAACCGAATCACCACTGTAATAAGCAGACATGGAGATCTGCACTGTGCTCTAAAGGAAGGGCCACCCCGTACGACTCGTTCCCTCCACAAGTTCATTAGCCAGTCCGCGTGAGCGCTGTAGGAGGCAGGAGAGGTGAGAAGTGCCGGCCTCCCAGCCCCACCGCTCTGGGCATCACTCATTTTCTCCTTCCCTCGCTCCCAGCAGCTGGGAACAGGCCTGCACGGAATTTACTTGTCCACATGCCACCACATGATCTCACCAATAGGGAAGAGAGGCCTGTGAGAACAGGTTTTAAAAATTAGGTTTGCTTCCTTATAAATCTGAATGGAGACACTGAGGGCCAGGCAGTGAGGGACGCCCGAGGCCCGGCCGTGGTGGCGGGACAGCAGGGCGTGGTTATTAGCAACTGCCAGGTAGCCCTTACGGGGGTCTTCCTTCTTCTATCCTCGCTCCTGTTGACACTCTACGGTAGATGAACTTCATGTTGATGTTCTGGGGATCCTTTTACACCAAGAAAGGAGAGCCTCAGCCGTAGCATGGCTCTTTGCTCACCAATTCACATTCCGCACCACAATTGCCCACCAGCACCCACCAAGCACTGTGCTGTTTCCATCTTGACGCGGCCTAACAAAGAAGGAAACAGCACGGGCTTTATCGTGCTGAGACAGGACTGGACGCGGACGCCCCGACAGGAAGGAACCTCACCTGCGATGCTCGCAAATATTTCACTGACGCCAATCAGCACGTACTGAGGGACCTGCCACCAGATTGGCAAATCCGCAGCATAGTAAACGACATTTCCAATGGTCTGGTTAATGGTCTTCTCCTTCACGAGGTCCAGCCGTTTGCTTTCCAAAATCCCTACAAATCATAAGTAGGTTATGAGCATTTGTTCATTAACATTTGCAATTAAACTAAAAAACTAGATGCTTGGTACAAGATGTCTGTTGATGATTCTGAGAAATACATGAAAGGATAATGCCCGATAACATAGCTTCCCCCAGAACCCCCCGACCTCAGGAATCTCCCTACTTTCAGCTTCCGAGGTAGGTTACTAAGAAACAGAGGTCATATAACCCACACTTCATGGGGGCCCCTGCAGTGCCCTATAAAGCCAGTGTTCAACATGGTTAACGCAATCCTCAAATCTCTGGACTGCTCGCCTAAACACCTTCTATTTCTCTTAAAAGGGGGAGCAGGGGAGAGCTAAACAGTCCTGCAACAAAAAGGTTAATCGTGCTAGTTACTTATCAGAAGGCAATGAATTTGGAGATGTTTTTCCCCCTCAAGGGAACAGATTTAAGTTGATTCACTGATCGTCATCACTATTACAACTACCACGACTACTACTAATGCCAGTTTCCTTGTGCAGACAGGCTTAACCTTATCAGCCAAGTACAGTGGTCCCCCCTTCTCTCTGGGGGATACGTTCAAAACCCCCAGGGGATGCCTGAAGCCCAGGACAGTTCCACATCCTACATATACTATGTTTTTTCCTGCACACACATACCTCTGATAAAGTTTAATCTATAAATCAGGCACAGTAAGAGATTGACAGCAGTAACTAATAATAAAATAGAACAATTATAACAATACACTGTAATGAAAGTTACGTGAAGATGGTCTTCCCCTCTCTCTAAATATCTCATTGTACTGTAGGTATTTTCGGACCACCGTTGACCGTGGGGTCACTGACCACGGAAAGCAAACCCAGGGATAAGCGGGACGACTGTAACCCGGACTCTTCGAACCACCCTCTGCCCTCAGCAGCACCAAGACCTCACTGGGTCATCGGTCATCTGTCTCGTGGGGCAGAAAGACATGGGAAGATAAGCAAGACAGAAACAGCTACTCTCCACAAAACAAAACATAAGCAGGTCAAAATAAAGCTTGAAACAACGTGTGGGACCGACTTCTCAAGGTAAAGGTGTCGCTAGATTGTGTTTTTAAAGGGTTCTAACTGCAGATGAAATAATGGGCCATAATATCTAATGTATATGTAAAAGCATACGGATTTAAAACCGTATGAGGAAGGACAGGAGTCTGCGTACAGGACAACGGAATATATTAAAAATATTCCTTTCAAAACCTGAGCATGAGAAAGGACCAGGGTATGATTGACGGGATGAAAGACAAACTCTGTAATCTGCAGCGCACAACATACCTCAAATGAAATGTGCAAACAAAGAGAAAACACATCAAAGGGCCAAGGGAAAGAGAGACCTCCCAGAGGTGAGTCGACCTTCACACCCGTCCTGCGACTGAGAAACACAGAGCGGGCCCAGGCATGCAGAGCGGTCACTGCAGAGCGCTTGCTGCTCTGGAAAGGGGCGTGTGCAGCTCGGCCCAGCGGTTATCAGGACGCTGGTGATGGCATTAAGGGCCCTGTCCACAGCGACAGCTCTGCTCCGTGGCAGGACAGCGGGCAGCACCAAGGGGGCCGTGGCATCAGCCTGGTTGGAGCACCTTCAACGCACAGGATAAAGCACTGTGGGCTTCCTCTGCGTGGGCCGAGCTCCAGCCAGCCCAGGGCCACTGCCCTGAGATCGGAAGATCACTGCGCTGTGCTGGCCACCGACCCTCTAGCTGGAAGGGCTCCGTCCAATCCAAGAGCAGAGGGGGAAGCACCCACTCAGCCTGTTTTAAGGGAATAAATATTGAAGCTGGAGGAGACTCTTGTCCTCCACAGGAAAGGCAAGAGAGGCTTAAGACAGTGCATGTGTGTCTGTGTGTGTGTGTGGCTGCCAGTGTGTGCATGCGTTTGTGTGTGTGTCTGTGTGTGTGTGTCTCTGTGTGTGTGCGTCTCTGTGTGTGCACGTGTGTGCGTGTGTGCATATGTGTGTCTGCCTGTGTGTGCGTGCGTGTGTGTGTGTGTGTGTGTGCGCGCACGCGTGCGCGTGATGGGGCAGTACTGGTGGGGACTATACACGGATTTAGTACTTCTGCAAGGCCTGGCAGAGAACGGAAGTAGACTGTCGGACGGGATCTGTTCTGCGCTCTTATTAGTTAGGAAAGCACGACTCCGTGAGGACTGGGGGTGAACAGGTAATGGAAACGAAGGGGCGCTGGCAAGGGGGACACAAATAACGAGGGTCGAGCCCCAAGAGACAAGAATGTGAGAAATCACTGAAGCTCCTCTCTGGTGGGACGGATGGCCGGACAGCGCAGAGAACAGAGGCCGAGGGAGAGGGCGAGCGCTCCAGACGACGCAGGGGCGGCGCAGCCCGCAGAGCTCCTGACGGACGGGCCCAGGAGCACCGGCACAGACCAACGTAAGGGCCGAGGCTGGGAGAGCGCCACAGCCATCGACGGGCCAAACTCTTCAGTTAAAGACACGGACTCACATCACGTCAAAACGAAAGAAAACCCAACGCTGCGGGCGAGGCAAGAACTAAAGCGTAAAGTGGCAAAGGTCTGAGTGAGGGAGAGGACGAGCAGAGTCACCGAGAAGGGAGGCGTGCCAACCACAGCGCACGGGCACCAAGAGAACACGCTGAAGGGCAGGCGCACGGCCCCGCGCCCGCAGCAAGCCCAGGAGAAGCAAGCCGGAGCCAGCAGCTGGGCAGAGACAGGGGCGCCGGCCTCAGCGACCGTCGGGGTGTGAGCTGGGCTTCCGCCGGGCCTTAGGGTCCCCGTGTGCGCCTCCCGCCACAGCGCTACTGCCCGAGGACGGCGCGTGCCCTCCCCAGGGACGACACAAGCCACAGACCTTCGTGAGTGAAACGTCGTCATCTGCTAGGAACGCAAGGCTCTGAGACCCAGGAACCCTCTTGGTCCTCACCAGAGCGAGCAGATGGAAAGATGAGGCTTTGCCGGGCAACTGGTTGCATCGGAGGCCCAAGGGCAGACCCAGGTCCCGAACTTTATGGACACTTAACACCTGTGCCCTCACGGGGCTCCGTTCTAATGGGCCCCGCCCAGACCACAGCATCCCTGGACACAGGCCATCGCCGTGATCCCAGGCCCCTGGCAGCACTGGACTTCAGGGCTCTTGTTACAAGGGATCTGACCCACTCAGCTGACGGTAGGACAACCTGCGAGCCATCCTATGCGGCACCCCCACGAACGTTTTTAGAAAGTAACACTGGCCAAAACGGAAGCCTTGAAGTCCACGGTACAGAATTATAAAGCCAGGATCTTTCCCAACTCCTCAGATAAAGCTTTTTCATTAACAAATGGATAAAACAAAAGCATCAATTTTATGAAATGAAAAAAACTTCTGTAAAATTACTCTTAGATCAAAAAGAAAATAAAAAACATAGTTTCAATATTCGTAGGGAGAAAAAACACACTACAACAAATCAAAGTGCAAGAGACCTTGGTAAAGCAACAGTAACAGGCCATTTCATGCCATTACGTGGTTTTTACTGTTAAGCAAGAAAGAACAAAAAGACGTGAAGAATTTAACTCAAGAAATGAGAAGAAAAACCCCACAAAACAAACCAAAGGTAATAGAAATTAATATCTTAAATTCTCTACTTAGAAAACATAAAAACAATCAGATGATAAATTCAAGACAGACGTCTAAGGAAAATTTATAAAATACAGTCTTGGCAAGCCTAATAAAAAAAGAGCACATAAAAAAGGGAAACTAGAAATGAGGAAGGAAACACATGAGATTTATTTAAAACACTATTTTTATCTCCACTCTAACAATTTTTCTAAAACTCAATAAATGATTTACTAGGGACATTAAAAAAATAAAAAGCTTAAGTGATTCAAGAAAAAACAAGATCTGTACAAAACTGAGAAAAAGGTGGAAAAGTTACATTTCCTTTCAGAGAGGATGTACTCATATGATTTTCTAGGCAAAGACTTGGAACTTCCTGGGAGCAGACAGATAATTCTCATCCTGTTAAAATACTCCCTGCCTTCAGAAATAGGGAGTTTGGACTTCACTGGTGGCACAGTGGTTAAGAATCTGCCTGCCAATGCAGGGGACACAGGTTCGAGCCCTGGTCCGGGAAGATCCCACAGGCCATGGAACAACTAAGCCCGTGCACCACAACTACTGAGCCTGCGCTGTAGAGCCCGTGAGCCACAACTACTGAACCCACGTGCCACAACTACTGAGCCTGTGCTCTAGAGCCTGTGAGCCACAACTACTGAAGCCCATGCACCTAGAGCCCACGAGCCGCACCTAGAGCCCAAGTGCCACAACTACTGAAGCCCGTGCACCTAGAGTCCGTGCTCCACTACAAGAGAAGCCACTGCAATGAGAAGCCCGCGCACCGCAATGAAGAGTAGCCCCCACTCGTCGCAACTACAGAAAGCCCACGCGCAGCAACAAAGACCCAGCATAGCCAAAAATAAATAAATTTATTTTTTTAAAAAAGAAAAGAAATAGGGAGTTTACCAACACCTTTTATGAAGCTGTATAACCCTGACACCAAACCAGACTGATATTGGTTAGAAAGAGATGCACAGTCGCTCAATAAAAGCAGATTATTGAGCAGACTGGAATTAGCAGATTCCAATCAGACCTTTTAACAAACAGGGTGTATTTTAGAAATTCAGGAACAGTTAAATACCAGATGTTAAAATAAATAAAAACCATGAGCAGCCAAAGGCAGGGAGGGGGTGGAGTAAGGAGGGCATGCAATCCTCCTGAAAACCAAACTAAGATATTTGAGAGAAACTCAACATCCACTTCTGCCAAAAAATACAAACTTGAAATAAAGCTTAGATATGTAACATCGTCAGGAATACGTATGCAAACTCAGAGGTGAGAGTGAACCTTCCACAGTGAGGGGCTGAAGGTGCGCTCGTCGAAGTCAGGGATAAAGGGGGGCATCCGTCACCACCAGCAGCCTTGGAGAAAGCCGGGCCACCCTGCCAAACAAGGAGAGACACAGGGAGGCGCAGCAGGAAGGCAGGAAAACGGGACTCCCCGACGGCCCAGGGGTTAGAACTCAGCGCTCTCACTGCCCAGGCCCGGGTTCAGTCCCTGGTCGGGGAACTAAGGTCCCACAAGCCGGGCAGTGTGGCCTGAATAAACAATAAATACCTTCTTTTTATAAAGAAGGCAGGAAATGAAACTATGTTAATTTCAAGACGAGCAACCATCTGAAAATAATTCACTGAAACTCAGAATTTTAAAAAATCTCCTAGGTGAGAAACCAAAATACATAAAAGCAGTTAGGAATAAACCTAACATAAAATGTACAGGACCTAAATGAAGAAGCACATAAGACTTCACAAGATGTCACAAACAAAATTAAAGGGAAAGTGAAAAAAATGGGAAAAATATTCGTAAAATGAGATAAAATTCTGAGTAGTGACCATCTACACTCTATTACAAGAAAAACCCACTAGAAAACTGGTCACAACACACCAACGGTACACAGAATAGAATGTCTGACACATTTTGGGAAGAAGTCTTAAGATCACTCCTAGTACACATTAAAGATACAGAATGCTGTAACCCTTCAGATAAGAGAAGATTAACAGGACACAATAATCAGTGTGACAAGGGCACGGCGAGATCAGACTCGCATCAGCACGCTGCTCTGGCCCTTTCACACGAGATGAGCACACATGTGCGGACGTGTCAGGGTGTGCACACAGCACTGCTTCAAGTAGGACAGACTGGAATCAACCCTCATGTTTAATAAGAAGACTGGTTTTAAAAACTGATAGTACAGCCCAAAATGGAATATTACGTCATTGTCAAAAACTATAATTTAAATTTGTAATTGACTTGGAAAAATGGTATGTATTATATATAGTATATAAAAATAGCTTATAAACTGTGAATAGTTTGTTCCATTTCTGTTGTTTTAAAAAGAACAATTTAGCTGTAATAAAATATTCTAGGAAGATATAAACACAGGTGTAGGCGTCATCACTGGATGGTGGTATTAGGAGTGAATTTAGGTCACCTCGCACTTCTATCTATGTATTTTTAACTTTTAAGGACCGTGGATTGACTCTGTGATAAGTTTGTTTGTTTGTTTGTTTGTTTTTGCAGTACGCGGGCCTCTCACCGTTGTGGTCTCTCACGTTGCGGAGCACAGGCTCCGGACGCACAGGCTCAGCGGCCATGGCTCACGGGCCCAGGCGCTCCGCGGCATGTGGGATCCTCCCTGACCGAGGCACGAACCCGCGTCCCCTGCCTCGGCAGGCGGACTCTCAACCACTGCGCCACCAGGGAAGCCCTGATAACAGTTTTTTAAAAAGTGCTGTAGACCAGTGGCTCTGAACTCTTTCCTAACGAAAGCTATGACCCAAGAAAAAGGCACTCAGATGATTCTGTCTCCATTCCAGGATGCTCTCCAGGCCCTGAAGTCCGGGCACAGACTCCTGCCTAAAAACCGCTGTGGTAATAGGGCATCCACGGCACAGCTGAGTGGAAGAGCAGACCGTGAGGCACACGGATGGGTACCATCAGCCTGGGATGACGGAAGGTAACTCTGTCATGTACACACATCAAACAAGGATGCAGTGATTACACTTCCAGGGATTCAAGAAGCAAAGCAATTTCACTGCAGTGATTACCGTACCGTGAAAACTAGAATCCTCGACACCCAACAACAAAGGATTGCACGTGAATGTTTGACACGGAGGAAGGATATTTTAGGTTTGTTTTTTTTTATTAAAGCAGGTGACGAAGTATAAACGCACACACACATCACATCATACATAATTTTTCCCATGCACTTGCAGAATGGTGGTAGAGGATTTCCTTGGAAGCCCCTGGTGGAATTATGAGTGCTTAAATCTGTGTGTATGAGAGAGAGAGAGAAAAGGAAAAGGAGGAGGAAGGGGAAAATGAGGGGAGATGGCTCATCTGTATTTGGGGGATCTTTCTACCCCCCAATAGTAACAAGCGTAGCTTTTATTATATTTTTATGGTTTCCTTACACTTAGTATTCCTTATTCAGGCTCAAATCTGCTTACACATCAGTATCTCATTTTCGCAAAAACACAGAAGGTGTGTGTGTATGTATGCAGAGACACACAAACGGGATTAGACGGATACACACCATCCCAGGAATGAGCATCTCTGGGGAAATTACAGTTGACTTTTATTTTCTCCTTTATGTTTCTAAGGTGCCCTTTTCTCCAGTGAGCATCTATGATGTCTGTAAATTAAGAGCACACACAAGTCTTAAGGGGCGAGGAAATCTGACAAATTAACACACCTCTTTTTTTCTCAAGCAGACTAGAAGAAACCCCTTGGACATGCCTGATTCTCATCTAAGAAAATTTAAAGAAAGAATTATTACCGGCAGGGATGGTACTAAATGGAAGATCCTGATTTATCATGGTTGAATGTAGTAAGCTAAAAGGCAAAATAGTCTCTTTTCTATTAAAACTTTGGTTTGCTGTAATGATTTCAGGTCTGTATTCAAAGGTCATTAATGTTCCAATTAAATAATATTCACTGGAGCTGGAAATGAAACGGCACGAAACACCAGTTACTGCTTACATTAAATTTAATAAACTGTGCTTAAGTCCAGTTGCCAGGTATTTAAACTCTTGAAACCAGTGGCCATTAAGCTCCTTCCCAACTTCTGGCCACTCAGCAAAGAGCGCCTCTTTAGGACACCAGCCTCAGCGGTGTTGTCCGCGTGTAAGTGATCAATTCAGATGCTGAAGTTCAGAGCGGCCGTGGTCACACAGTGCAGAGCACCTGCCTCTCTGCAGGTGCCCGTGGCCACCTGACGACAGCCCGACCTGCTGAGCAGGAAGTGAACTGCCGGCACGGCCCGCACTTTTAAGACAGCACTGCCTGCCCCGCTGGACAACAGTCACCTGTCTGCTGTCGTTTCCCACGTAAACAGGCAAAGAAACCACCGGGAAGCCCCTGGGGTTCTCAGGGCAGCCCGGAGAAGCTATTCAGCCATAAATGAAACTGGAAGACAAGACGGTATTAGAGGAACCAAAGCCGAAGTCTGCTAGAAAATGCCTGGGGAACCAGCAGCCTCGCCTTTCCCACAGGGAGAGGACAAGGCCTCCTTTCCAAGGGGTGTGAATGGCTGGTCGTGGCACAGAGAGGGGGCTCCCCAGCCCAGGAAGAAGCCGGGCCCACGGCAGGCACTCAGGGCACCACCCCAGCACAGCAGCTCTGCCCATCACCGATTCTGCGGCACGAGACCTGCAATCAGAGCTCCGCTGTAATCCAGCTCTCGTCTGCTCTGGCTTACCTCCCCATGTGCACAGGACTGGAAGAGAAACGAATCACACAGCAAGCACACAGCAGAAGCTTCATTCAGACACGCCCTCCCTTTAATTACCTATTTGATTAAGAAAAAACATAACTGTCTCCTAAGATGTCCCAGTGTCTGGAATATAGAATTCTTAAGCCTAGGGACTCATTTCTTTAAATCTATTGAGTACTATATCAATAGACAGTACTACATTTAGTACTGTGTTCACCCTGGCGAGAGTGGATGGAGGCTGCTGTGAAGCACTGTCGGAGAATATTAAACTCCATCTCAGCAGTGCTTAACATTATATTCCTCATAACAGAGATGACATATAGGTGATTCAGGAAAGCAGCTGTTGTCTTGTTATATAGGTAAGCTATTTCACCGTTCAATCGTTTTCAAATATTAATGAAGGAAGAGCTCCAAACCAAGGTGAGAAAGTCAGCAACAGCTCACCTTTACCAGCACACGATATTTCAGCTTATACTTCAGAATCTAAGAATTATGCAAACAGAATGGAGCCCCCAGAAGGTGCTGGAATACTCAGGCATTAGTTCTTAACCTCTTTCTTTTTTTCTGGGGGATGGAGGCTGGTTACAAACCTGTATTTGATTTAAAAACAAAACAAAACAAAAAAACCTTTCTCTCCAGGAAGATGCACGTAAAATTTTACATAAAAGTGCAAAGGGTTCAGGTATATAAAGCTGATTAATGGACCTGACATTAAGAATCACAGCTCTGAGGATTATTTAACACCTTTATTTATGAAGTTTCATCTACACGGCAGTTAACAGTTGTCTAAAATCTAAATCACTAGGAGACAACAAGCCTCCTTTGATTCAACCCAAAAGTCTCTTTCCAGAGCATTTCACTGGTTATAGTTCTAAAAAACCAAACTAAACCAAAACAAAACCCAGACAAATCCTTAGGAAAAAACCTTAAGCTTCATAAATGAAAAACTAGAAAACGAACACCAGTCAGGGTTAGAATAACCCATATATGTCCTCTTGAAGTACACACACTTCCTGAGTGCCACGTGGCGTGTGGCCACATTCCGCATCACCCACAACCGGAACCGGAAACGGCTTCTCACCTGCTGCGAAGGCCGAGCACATCACAAAGAACATGCCCACCGCGATCCTTTTCAAGGACGATGGGAGCAGCCCGTTTCTTCTCAAGATGGGATCCACCAGTTTATCTTTCAAGGGAATTAACAGGAGGATGAGCACAGCATCGAACATGGTTAGCCAGGCTGCCGGAAACTGGAAGCGGGAAACACAGAAGACACCTGCTTATTTTTCTGCAGTGTCAGCAGTCACGCATCTGACAACTAACATCTAAATGGGAAAAGCTTATTTCAAGAATAGTTCATCAGGGCTTCCCTGGTGGCGCAGTGGTTAAGAGTCCGCCTGCCGATGCAGGGGACACGGGTTCGTGCCCCGGTCCGGGAAGATCCCACATGCCGCAGAGTGGCTGGGCCCGTGAGCCATGGCCGCTGAGCCTGTGCGTCAGGAGCCTGTGCTCCGCAATGGGAGAGGCCACAACAGTGAGAGGCCCGCGTAACGCAAAAAAAAAAAAGAAGTTCATTTGTACAAAGTATAACCTCCTAGGAAAATAGTCTGTCTCAAGACACTGGTACTGAGAAAAGGTTTCCACTTCTAAAGGGATTTGCGTTTGTTTTTCTGTGCTTTCTCGGGGGAAAGAAGAGTCAGGTGAAATGTTAACGTCAGGAGTCAACTTAATCTAGCAAAGGACATAACCAATGGGAAACAGTCTCAGAAATAAGCAAACATTCCATTTCAACATTCCATTCAAATTCCATTTCAACATTCAAGGAATGCTTTTAGTTCAAGCTAACTGCCGTCATTACAAAGTATCTACCATTGGTAGAAGGAATCCATTTGTCACGTAAACCCCCAAAGACAATTTTCAGATCATTTCAACTGTTCTCACCGTATGAGGATTGGTTGTAATACTGGAAATTTCTGGAATCTTCAAATGAAGACTTTGTAAAACATACGTCGTCTGCATCTGGGTGTAGAAAGCAGCTGTCATTACATGAGCACGGCTGTCACTCACTCGCAGCGTGCGCCCTCCCCCAGACTACACCATGCTGAGACTTGCAACACTCAGGTTTGAAAACACGGGTCAATTACTTGGTCACCATAAAAGTTGTCTGGAGATGAACTTTGAAAAAGAAGTAACCATTATCCCAATGAGAAACCATATTAAAAGGTGGGGTCTGGAAAAACAGAAGCATCCCCATTCTTAGCTTCGTTTTAAGGTTTTCAAAACATTTCAATCAGCAAAAAGGAGTCCGTAACTAAAAACAAGATTCCGAGATCCTGAAGACTCGTGACAAAGAAAGCCAGGAACCCCGCGCACTTCAGTGATGGCCAGAACGAGTGCCGGGGGGCGTTCACGGGGAGACAGAGGAAATGAAACCTGAATGTCACCACTCACTTGAAAATACACTGTCCAGTAAGGTATCAAAGCCAAGAAAACGGGGACAATCTTGACAAGGGCTTTCACATCTTCCACTTTATCTTCCGGGAATGGCCCTCCATGAGACATCTTACATGAATCAAACAGACTGTGTTTAGAAGATTGCTGAAAGACTCCAATGCCTTCACTTTGGGAAATAAAATGAAGGAATTAGTTTTCTTCCACCCCCAGAAATCAATTATTTGGTAACAAATTAAGTTTGGAGGTAGGAAACCAGCTTGCTGTGCTGAATTTGCTCCAACTCCATTCTGCTACCTACTAATGGTCCCCACCCAGTACAGCTACCTAGATTATTCCTCAACACTGGGACACATGGACACAGCTGGCAGAAGGACTTCCTAGCCAGAGTGAGACTGCAGCCACCATCCTTTTCTTGAGACTAGGAGATATGACAGGATCGCCCCTCACCGTCTGAAAGGTGGCTGACCTCACCCCCAGCGTTGTCACCCTGGCCACCAGCCCCACTGTGCTGAGGAAGGTCCGCAGTTTCATCCGAAGCTGATGACAACTACGTCGGCTGCGTGACTGGGTGAGCATCTGGAAAAATTACTGTGCTGGACTGTTTGGATTTTATATTAGGTCATTTATCAAACGTCAAGACTTGACGACCACACCGACTGTTACAAACCCGAGCTGCTTTACTATTACACCAGTGTGACTGGGAGGGAGGCTCTCAGGGAAGCCACCAGCTCTTCAGTGAAGGAAGAGCCGAGAGGGGGAGGGGCGATGCTTCTGGTGATGATGATAACTTGACGATGTGACCTTCCACAAAAGCATCCTCATCAGTTAGTTACCGTTACCCGGGCTCTTATTAGCTCACTGAGGCCTCACACTGATCCTATGAGAGGGGTCCTTTCCCACCCTTGTAAAGAAGGCTTTACAAGGTCATAAACCTGCCCAAGGTCATACAGCCCTAACCTGTGCGTAAGGAGAGCACAGCTGGAGAATTCTCTAGACCATCAACTTTTCTGCAAGCTGGTCCTTTTCTAATTGTGCCAAGGAAGACTTCAAAAACCAATCTAAAGGGAAAACAGATTCCTAAGTCCAAACTGACTTCGCCATGCCACGTGTGCATTAAAACCCAAGTGTCCACAAAGCAGTGGTGTTCTCCCACAGAACTGTCTACCAGGTACCACCCACACAGACACACCGAAAATTTAACAGTATATTTTGCTAATGGCATTCAATCTGTAGCCTAAACATCTAGGATCTGAAACCCTGCTTCTGCCTAATTAAAATGAGGCCCCGGTAAAGCACTACTGCTTGCTGCTGAGGCAATGAGGCTTCAACTGTTAAAAATTCTTTAGTGTGGTCCCACCAGCTGCAGTTCTGAATTATGAGTCTGAATGCCACACTGACCCACTAGAATTCCAGGGCACTGGGGTGGTTAGCTGTGCCGGAATTCCACACGGGGACAGCTGAAGCAGCTAGAGACGTTTAGCCAGGAGCAAAGGGGCAGGGCCATAGAGCTGCTTTGGTACGGGAACATCAGACAGCTGTTATGGCTCCAAGGACATAAATTAGACACACGCAGACAAGCCATGAGGGGGCAGACAGACGCGGGGTCGGCCTGCAGAAGGTTCCTGCAGGATGTCAACCTCCGGCTCAGGGACTGAGCGCCCATCTCAACACCGGCCTCGATCAAAATATTCCGAGAGGCTCAACTCCAAAGGGTCCTGGGGACTTTTCTGGGGGGATGGACATACTCTTTATCCTGAATGCACTCTGGTTACATGATGGCATCTGTCACACTTCCCAGAACTGTATAGGCAAAAGGGACGTATTTTACTATGGGTTGTTGTTACATCAAAAAGTAACAACAAAAAAATTCTGAAGTCTCTTTTTGAGCTAAGTTCTGGACTTTTCTTCATTAATCTGCATCTAGGGTGACTGACGTTCCGCCACAGTTTGCCCAGGACTCCCCGGGCCCCGGGACTCTGGGCTTTAAGACCTCAGGTCGTGGGCACACGGTGCTAAAACCGGGAAGTGCCCGGCAGGGGGTGACGGGGTTACCCTACCTGCATCTCAGTCCTGCTCTCCTGCCCTTCTCAAAGAGCGGCTGCAGTGACCCCTGGGGGACGGGCCACGGGGACCCGCACAGCAGCTTCCTGCTTAAGGAGCACAGACAGGCAGCGACCACGTAAGCGACTGCTTGGTTTCTCATTCAAAGGAATGCATCAAGTGGTACACTGACTCTTCGATGCCCCTGGCAAGGTTCTGTCTTTTATCACCTTTACACGACTGCGTAGTCGGGAGCCCCCATCTTACACCAGCAGCGGGAGGAAGGCCAACGTGCAGGTCAGAAATGAAAAGCACGAGCCCAGGAGGGGGGCCGCCGGTCTGTCTTTAAGATGGAGACAAAGTACCTCACACCCGCCTCCTGCAGCTGGCGTGAGACATTGCAACCTCAGCCCCGTGTCCCCCTCCACGGTGAGCACAGGACAGACATAAGCCAGCACTTTATTTATGACGGTTGGTAAGTCACGTGGAAAACTGAGCCTGTGATGAGAATAAAGTGCTCACCCACTAGGACTGCGTTCCCTGATTTGCTTCTGGGGGCAGCACGAATACACCAGGATCCTGAACACGTCAGTGAAGGCGCTGCCATCGGGCGGCTTGGTGATGAAGAAGGTCTGGCCGCAGAGGAAGGCCACGAAAGCCACTCCGATGCAGACAGCGGGGATGGTGTAGCCGGTGACAAAGCTCACGTTCTGCTGAATGTAGGCAATGCCCCCCAGAGAAACGATTGCTCCCAGATTAATGCTCCAATAAAACCAATTAAAAAATCTTCTCGTGGCTTCTGGACCGCGATCTTTAACCTAAAATAACCAGGAGGAAAGAGACTTAAAAACGTGTGATCATCCTCAAGGATGAAAAACATATACGATGTTTTCATATATTACTATATCTTTATATCAGTTACTGTTGTCACCACAGCCTTTAAGAGAGGCAGCACATGGGAATTCCCTGGCGGTCCAGTGGTTAGAACTCTGCACTTTCGCTGCCGGGGCCCAGGTTCCATCCCTGGTCAGGGAACTAAGATCCCACAGGACGCAGCCAAAAAATCCAGAAATGTAGCCAATCAATCAAAATGGTGTTTACAGATACAGCCTGCCAAAAAAAATGTATCTTTTATGCTTTTAATTACTGCAGATTCTGGGTAGTGTTTCTCTTAACTCTACTTAGATCCAACAAATCCTGGAGAGTTTCTCCAAGTATCTCCCGTGGACCACCTGCTTTGGAAACGCCTGGCATGCTCCTTAAAAATACAGATTCACAGGACCCACGTTCCAGGCCTACCCACTCACCATCTCTGGGGTTGGGGCCCAGGAATCTGCATTTTAAACTTTCCAGAGGACTTCTACTCACAGCCATATAGCTCCACGCCTTGATAAATCTGGAACAAGGGGAAAATTACAGACAAACTAAAACCGCATGCCATTTTTAGACCAGGAAGCCTCTCAATGGAATCAGGAGAAGTTCTGATAAGGACAGAGATCCCTGGAAGGCGCAAAAATCACTGATTTCCTCAACGCAGACAAACACAAGCACCAGGGAACACAAGCGAGTTCTAGGTGCGCACTGTCCACAAGACCTGCCCAGCCGGAGCCCGTCCTGGCAGGGACAGTCCGTGTGGGGTGGGCACCCCGTGACGTCCCTCTGAGGATGGCTTCTCACATCTGCGTGGACACCACGAGAATGTGCTCTGCACCAGCCAGAGTCATTCCTAGCCAGTTTCACCTCATAAAAGGTTTAAACAAACTTTATTAGCTAAAGGCTGACAATGGACCATGTACAAAGACTGTCAGGTGTTGCTGTGTTGGGAACTTCTGTTGTCTCGTCCTTAAGTTACAGGTTGTGAAAAGGCTGGACAATTCCTGGTCCAGTAACATCTGAATTCTGATCCACAGAGCAATCTCCTTTCCTAAGTAAGAGAGGAGGTTTTCAATGGGGGCCTAAACAACCAGTTGTGATGCACAGAAACTACTTTTTAGCAGTCATATTATGCAGTATGACACTTTAACCTCTACTTTTTAAGATCAAAGTACAGGTGTAAATATACAGTCAAAATCGTTTGTTCCTCCAAAAAAAATTTAATCCAAAATGATTAAACATGGATATTGTGATAACAAATAATATGCCTGAAGTAATTATCTGGTAACCCCCGTCTCAAACTGAAAATCTGAGTTTTAAATAAGCCGCAGCAGGAGGAGGAGCTTAAACTTGGCCCCCGCACGTCAGAAGGGAGCAGAGGTCCTGGACCAAACACAGGCATGATCACTGAATAAACGATCTGTACGGAGGATGCCTTACATTTCTAAGACAGCTCTCCATGAGAACACAACGCGTTTATTTTTTTTAATCATTTTTGGCTGCGCCATGCCGCTTACAGGATCTTACTACCCCGACGAGGGATCGAACCCGGGCCCCCAGGCAGTGGAAGCGCAGAGTCCTAACCACTGGAGCGCCAGGGAAGTCCCCACAGTGCGTTTAAATGTCACAGAAATGGACTCAAATATTCATGCTATCCTGGAAACAGACCAGAGGGAAGAAAAAACTTAAGCAGACACGGTTACAGAGAAAATTTAACTAAAGATATAAAAACAAGTAATTAGGGTGGGGGGCAAGCTTAAAAGGGGGCCAGTAAACATAATACCTAAAGTTAATGCAGGGGCTTCCCTGGTGGCGCAGTGGTTGAGAATCCGCCTACCGATGCAGGGGACACAGTTTCAAGCCCTGGTCCGGGAAGATCCCACATGCCGCGGAGCAACTAAGCCTGTGTGCCACAATTACTGAGCCTGTGCTCTAGAGCCCATGAGCCACAACTACTGAGCCCGTGCTCTAGAGCCTGCGAGCCACAACTACTGAGCCCATGCTCTAGAGCCTGTGAGCCACAACTACTGAGCCTGTGCTCTAGAGCCTGCGAGCCACAACTACTGAGCCCATGTGCCACAACTACTAAGCCCGTGCTCTAGAGCCTGCGAGCCACAACTACTGAGCCCGCATGTCACAACTACTGAAGCCCGTGAGCCTGGAGCCCGTGTTCCACAGCGGGAGAGGCCACCGCAGTGAGAGGACCGCGCACCGCAACGAAGAGTAGCCCCCGCTCGCCGCAGCTAGAGAAAGCCCGTGCGTAGCAACGAAGACCCAACGCAGCCAAAAATAAATAAATTTTAAAAAAATTTTTAAAAAAAAAGCAGACAATATACGTTTTAACTGAACTATATATCGGCCCTTCCCAGTATCTACAGTGGCACAGCACACACCCTGGTAAATTTGGCAGTAGACTTATTTGAACTTCTAAGTGTAATTCACTAAAATTACTTCAGGAACCTAAGCCTATCACTAGACCCTAAATAACCACATAGCAGTAATTTTCTTACAGGAGCCTGCTGGCTCCTATAAACCGCAAATCACATGCCTCCATGCCCTGGACTGACACCCGCACTTCATGTGGGTCACATTACGTCACCATCTGTACACCTGCCTCCAGCCCTACCCGACCAAGGGTAAACAGGACCATCATATGACCGGTCAAAAGACACTGCTGCGGTCAACTCAGAGAAGTGCAGCTAAAGGAACAGGATCCTGGGGAGTGAGTCAGACAGTTGGCTGATTTGGAAAAATTCCTTTAAACTCATAACAGCGCAACTCTTTTTTTCCCCCTCTAGAAAAAATGTATCTTTGCTCTCTTTGTCTGTAAAAAAGAGTTCTTTCAGTTCACTCGTTCAACTACAGGAGCCATCCATTCAGAATGACTGTGACCTTTGAGGAAGGTTAATCCCTCGGGGGAAAAGACGGGGCTGACGTGATTTACATCAGCATCACCCCCGGACTCTGGTGTGCATCTTCCTTCAAAAGTCAGCTAAGGCCTCCTTCTCAGGGCTGCACAGCATGACCCCATTCATCTCTCACTCAGAGGGCCTCCTAGAGGCCCTGTATCGCAGACAAAGGCGTCAGTGATAGAGAAGCATAAAGGTACCTTCAAAGTATTACTCAGCCATAAAAAAGAATGAAGTAGTGCCATTTGCAGCAACATGGATGGACCTAGAGATGATCATACAAAGCGAAGTAAGTCAGACAGAGAAAGATAAATACCATATGATATCACTTATATGTGGAATCTAAACTATGACACAAATGAACTTATTTCCAAAACAGACTCACAGACATAGAAAACAATCTTATGGTTACCAAAGGGGAGAGCTGGGGGAGGGATAAATTGGGAACTTGGGATTAATAGGTAACACACTACTATATATAAAATAACCAACAAGGTCCTACTGTGTAGCACAGGGAACTATATTCAATACCTTGTATAACCTATAAAGAGAGAGAATCTGAAAAAGTATAAATGTATAATCCCGCAAGCCGTGCGGCACCTCTGGGGGACGCCTCTCAAATCCCCTTCAAAGACCAGCAAGCACCTGGCACAGAGCAAGCACCTTGGCTGAAGGGTACTAATATTTTCCTTTTACATGTTTTTTTCACTGAGATACAATTCTCATAATAAAAAATTCACCCTGTTGAAATGTACCACTCAGTGGTTTTCGGTCTATTCACAGATGTGCAACCATCTCCTCTATCCAATTCCACATTTCTTGTCTCACCAAAAAGAAACTTCCTCTTACAGTAGCTTCCCTTTCCCCTCTCCTGACTCCTGGCAACCACTAACCTCCTCGTCTGTGTGGACCTGTCTATTCTGGACATCTCATATAAATGGAATCACATAACATGCCGTGTTCTGTGCCTGGCATCTTTCAGGGGCATGATGTTTTCAAGGTGCATCCACGTTGAAGAAAGTACTTCATCCCTTTTTACTGCTGAAGGATATTTCACTGTACGGAGAGAGCACACGTGCTTTATCCACCCATCAGGTGATGGACATCCCCTTAACTTTTTAGTAAAAAAAATTTTAAACATACAGAAAAGATGAAAGAATAGTAAAACATATACTTCTGTAGCCTTCATTTACAGCCTCAGTTCTTTTTCTGTATAGATATGAAATACTCTTTGGGCTGAACCATTTAAAAATAAGTTACAGCATCATTATTTCACCCTAAAGATTTCATCATGAATCTCCTAACAATAAGGCCATTCTTCTACATAACACAAACCATTATCACACCTAAGAAAATTAACACCAATGCAACTTTATCTAATATGTGGTCTATAATCAAGTTATCACAATCGTCCCAATAAATGCCTTTTAGAAAAGCTGGGCCCCAATCATGAAGCACATGATGTGTTTGGCTGTCAAGTCTCTCTGATATCCTTAAATATAGAGTGGCTCTCCTTTGTCCATGGCAGTGTCACGTTAGAGAAGATGAGGTCAGTTCTCTTGCAGAAGAGCACGTTTCTTTTTAAGGTCCACATCTAATTACACATCAAAAGAGCACAAATTCTGTCGTGCCTTCTAGAGAACCTCTACAGAACCACTCATTCTTTTCAGGAATATTAATCCCTCGTCTATTATCTACTGGAGAGCAGGAATTTTTAAGTCAGACTTTCCGGGTTTAAACCCAGCTCCTCCACTCATGTGCTGTGGACCTGGGTAGGTCAAACCGCCCAAGCCTCCGTTTACTGTAAAACAGGGACAATTCGGGATATAAAGTGTTGCAAGGTGTTAGATAAGATCCCATAGGAAGAGCGCTCGGTACAGTACGGGGCACAACCTAAACACTCAGGGCGCCCTTCAGTCCTGCGGCCTGGTCTTTAAAGATGGGTAATCCCAGTCCTGTGCCTTCGCGGTTAGCCTGTGAGCTGCCGGCACCTCAAAGGCCAAAGCCGTCCCAGAATGCCCATCTCAGTTAAAGGACACATTAAGAAATCAGACCTGCACCTAAACCCTGGCTTGACCACTCACTACCTATAGGACAACAAAAGAATTAAACCTTTTTGCACCTCCATTTTCTCATTTAAAACATGGGTATGAGATTCACATGAGATTCAAATGAGTTCACGGATGGAAACCACATTCCACAGTGCAGAGAAGGAAGTGAAGAATTCAGGACATTAGGCAATTAGTATTTCCAACATCATTATAAGGCGTCGCCTTTCACAGGGGTGATTAAAGTTCAGATGCAGAGGCCAGGCTCTTGCACCCTGGCTCAGTCACGTACTAGCTCTGTATCACTGGGCAAATGATTTAACCTCTCAAGCCCCAGTTTCCTCATCTGTAAAATGGGCACGGTAACAGCAGAGGAGTCCTATGAACTCTGACAAAGTACTCGGCACGCGGCCTGATGCACAGTAAGCCCTCCGTAAATGTTCACAATCACATGGCTACTTAGCGCAAAAACCCAGGAGTTATCTTCCCTGTTGCTTGCATAAGATCCACCAGCAATCCCGGCCCCTCTACCTCCATAACTTATCCTGAATCGACCACTTCACTCCGTGTCCACTGCCCCCGTCCTAGTCCAAACCTCTCCTCTCTCACCTGGCCAGTGAAACAGACTCCTGCCTGATCTGTCTGCTGTCAGCACTTCCCATACAACCTAGTCTCTATACCCGACATCCGCAAACTTTTTCTGTGAAGGGGCAGGGTGTAAATAGTTTAAGTTTTAAGTGACGTTCAGTCTGTCACAACTACTTGATTCTGCTACCATATTGTGAAAGCGGCCACAGCATATGTGACCAGGAAGGTGCAGGGCTGTGTTCCAATAAAGCTTTATTTGTGGAAGCTGAAATTTGAGTTTCCTATCATTTTCATTTGCCACAAAAATATTCTTTTTACTTTTTTCCTACCGTTCAAAAAACTAAGTACCAGTCTTATTCTTAGCTTGTGGGCCCTCCAGAAACAGGAAGTAGACCAGATTTGGCTGGCAGCCACAGCTGCCAGGCCCACGCCCTAGAGACTGAATTTTTTAGAAACATAAATCAGATCACATTACCCCTGCTCAAATCCCCAAAAAGGCTCCCTACTGTATTCAAAACAGACCTCAAACTCTTTACAAAGCTTCACATCACGAAGCACCTGCCTGCCACCCCTGTTCCCACTTCTTCTTTTGTTTGAAACATACTTGTCGCATAACCTGCCAGAAGTTTAAGGCGTACAGTACGTACAGACTTGGTACACTGATGTGTTCTGTACTGCAACACGACTGCCACGGTAGCTGCAACATCCTTCTCTTCTGGCCCCAGGGCCTTTGCACTTGCAGAGGCCCAGTCCAGAAACCGCTCTGCTCTCCCCCAGGTCTCAACTCCTAAAGCCCCCCCCAACTCCTAAAGGCCCCCTCCTAAAGGAAGGAGGCCCCTCGGTCTGCAGCCCCCGCGCGCCAGCACCCACCCTGCGCGGTCCCCCACGGTACTTGGGTTTCCGGTCCGCGGGCGACCCCGCCCCCTCGCCCCGCACCTGCGCGGCCCTCACCTGGTCGGCGCCGAAGGGCGTGATGTTGGCCTTGACGGCGCCCACGCCCAGGCCCACGAGCGCGAGCGCTGACAGCGCGGCGGGCGCGCAGTAGCGGTCAGGCGCGTCGGCACACGGCTGCGCCGAGCAGTTGCGGAGGCGCGTGGGGCGGAGGGCCCCGCAGAGCGCCGTGCGAGTGGCAGGCGCGGCCAGCAGCGGGAAGGCCAGCATGCCGAGTAAGTAGAGCGCCAGGCTGAGCAGGATGGCGCGCGCCCGGCCGAGTCGCGCGTCGGCGAGCCAGCCCCCGAACGGCGACACCAGGTAGGTGAGGCCCATGAAGAGCAGCAGCGCCTGGCTGGCCTGCGCGCCCTCCCAGCCGAACGCCGTGCCGTTGAGGAACAGCACCAGGTTGGCCGTGACGCCGTAGAAGGCGGCGCGCTCCAGCAGCTCCGTCAGCAGCACGGCCGCGCACGCCGCGCGCCGGCCCTCGAACGCCGCCCGCCGCGCACCCAGCAGCGGCGTCCGCTCGTCGCCTGCGCCCGCCATGCGCCCCACAGCTCACCGGCCGCTCCACTGCGCTGGGCTCAGCACGGCTCTGCCGCCGCCGCCGCCCTTCTCGCGATACTAGGCTCGCCAGCCTTCTCGGCCCGCCCCGCGAGCGTCCCTATTGGGCGAGCCCGCCGTGTCGCCCGCCGGGACTTCCGGTTCCGCCCCGGAAGCCTGCCCGGGCGGGAGACTTGCTTCTGCTAGCGGTGGTGCCGGAGGGCAGGAGTGTGACCGCAGAGAGGTTTTTAAAAGTGAAATCAGAGGCAGGCCCTCCGAGGTTCCGAACCCAGACTTTTTACGGAGGCTTCAGCCTCTGCCTGCCTTCCAGGCTGGTTCGCTCAGGCTGGCCCCTGCTCCCGCGCCCGGCCTCCTGCCTCCCTGCCCTGGGACCAGGTTTCTCTGTGCTCTGTTGACATTGGGAGCAGAGCGTTCTTTGTGGCGTGCGTTCTGTGCATTGTAGGATGGGTAACGGCATCCCTGGCCTCTACTGCACTATGGCTGTGCCACCCCGCTCCCCAGTTGTGACAATCAAATCTGTCTCCAGACGTTCCCAAATGACCCGCGGTGGAGCAAAGTCGCCTGCACTGAGAACCACCACCTGACAACAAGCTCAGAGCCTTGTTTCCTTGTCGCATGGCTGACCTCCTGTTTTCCTTCAGCCCTCAACTGGAGTGGTGACTCCTTGTAAGCATTTCTTGACCAGCCCTTCTAAAGTGGATCCCACGCCCATCCCCTTACCCTGTTTTAGTTTCCCCCATGGTAACTGCCACGTTTTTTGTTTATTCCTTTGTCCCCAGCTTGTACATGGTCCCCACAATGATGAGCTCCATGGTGGCAGGGTTCTTGTGTCTCTTGTGCCTCACCATGCCCTCCAGCGCCTACACCAGTGTGGGACGTTACACCGGAGTGGAGCGAAAGAGTGTTCTCCAGAAACGGCCTCCAGCATGGCTTCAGAAATTGGGACCCAGGACTGTCATAATTCAGTTCATCTGAGACCATTTCTTCTTCTTCCTCCACCCTTAACTCCAGTTAAAACCAGGATGGAGCAATTGCCTAGGAAGTGGGCTTGCTGGTAAGTCATCTGGGTAAGTAGTCCTTCCTAAAAGGCTTGAAGTAGCATGCATTAACTTTATTTTTCAAAATGTCTGACATCTTGACTGTTGCCTAGCAAGGTGCTGGCACACAGTGGGCAGTAGATACATATTTAATGAGAGAATAATCAGATGCCAAGATAGGACTTGTCCCACCCTTTCCATTAGTGCTAATCATCTTCAGCTGTCAGCTTAAATGTCACTTTCCTGATCTTCCCAGACTAGAACAGATCCCCCTTTTATATGTCATTAGAGCACAGTGTACGTTTTTCTTACACCACACCCATTATAGTTTATAATTATTTATTTTGTGAAGCTGTTTAGTAGCTGTCTTCAAAGCTAGGAGGGATGAGATTTTGTTTGTTTTGTCCGCTACTATATTCCTAGAATCTAGGACAGCACTCGCCAGTGATAGATATGTGTAGAATTAACTGAATAAATGAATGACTGAATATTTGTTGAATTGTAAATGGTGCCGGAAGAACGTCTTACGTTCACCTAATTTTTTTTGAGACTCTCGTGACGTTCTACAGCATGTATTAGTATCCTAATTTCGCTAGTGGAAAAAGCAAATCCCTCAAGATTCCGGTCTAGGATCACACATCTCGTAGGCATTAGAATTCAGACTTGAGTTAAAAGGCTCAAAACTAATTCCTAGTCCAGTGCTTCTTCTACACCCCAGCTGGTACATACGTCAAAAACTATGAGTGTCTGTTTTAAGACTGACGGCATGATACGCTCAGGCAAAGAGCAGAATAACGTTAAACGTGGAATGAAAATAAAGCCATTCAGCTTGAAGCCTGTGGTGACTTAGTGGTGACGCTCTGCCCCAAACAGATGGGCCATTTTGGATGACAGCAAGCTAACCCAGGTGGGTTGTCTTGTTTAAGAAGGATAAAGCCAGGTGAAAGGGGGCTGGGAGGTGGGAGGCGGCAGTTACAGAGCTTAGGATGTGCACCCAGGACTCATGAGCACTTGTTGCTGGTCCGCGGGAGGTCTGCTATGCACCCCAATCTGGGTACCCAGAGGCTGCAAAACAAATCCAGCGGGCAGAAATGTTTTCATTTGGTTGCGATGTTTAAAAGAAGCGAACCAAGACCATATAATTCAAGATTCCATTTCTATGAAGTGTCCGGAGTAGGCAACTCTGTAGGGACAGAATGCAGACTGGTGTGTGATTGCCAGTGCTGGGGGGGAAGGGAAGATTGGGGAGTAACCGCTAAAAGGTGTGGCGTTTCTTTTTGTAGTAATGAAATGTTCTGAAATCGTGGTGATAGTTGCACAACTCTGTGAATGTACTAAAAACCACTGAATTGTACACTTTAAATGGATGAACTGTACGGTATGTGAATTACATTTCAATAATGCTGTTACCAAAAAAAAAAAAAAGTGAGCCAACAGTTAAAAATTGGGAGGTTTCGGGCTTCCCTGGTGGCGCAGTGGTTGAGAGTCCGCCTGCCGATGCAGGGGACATGGGTTCGTGCCCTGGTCCAGGAGGACCCCACATGCCGCAGAGCGGCTGGGCCCGTGAGCCATGGCCGCTGAGCCTGCGCGTCCGGAGCCTGTGCTCCGCAATGGGAGAGGCCACAACAGTGAGAGGCCCGCGTACCGCAAAAAAAAAAAAAAAAAAAAAAAAAGGGAGGTTTCACATATAAATTTGGATGCCCTGCTGCTCTTGAAAAAACAGACGGGAGCCCTGGCAACACTGGGACGTGCGACTGCCTGTGACACTAGTGACCACCTCCCACCCCTGCATGAACCACGCCTCTGGTATTTGTGCCTTTACGCATTCTTTGCAGGTCACAGTGCCAAAGGGCTGAGACTGTGACCTGCTTTGGTGAAGAGACTGTGGCAGAAGCGTCCCTGAGCCAGGTCTGAACGTAAACCTTAAGAATTTCTTTTGTGCCTTGGGAGCCCTGAACCAGCTACCTTGCTGGGGAGACCACGTGTTGGGGGAGATCCTGCAGCTACATGGAGAAGGGGTCCCGGTGCCTCAGCCTCCCAGCCCACCTTCCCGATGAAGGAAGACACACAAGTAACCACCAGCAAGACCAACGGGACAAACTGCCCACCTGAGCCTCCACCCAGCTCACAGAATTAACAGATGCAGGTGAACAAATTAAATAATTGTCATGTTAAGCTGCTAAGTTCTGGGGAGGTTAGTTAGGCAGCATCAGGTCATGAAAACACGCCTGCCTTCCCCCAGAGCCATGATCTGCTGACACCAGGTACCTGCCCCGACCTTTAGACGGGGCACCAACTGTCTGGCTTACACAGATCCTCCCAACTCTCTGTTGTCTTATTTTTCTCCCAGTAGAGAAATTATTCCCCATATCTGCACTGTCCACTGCCCAACTTAAATTCATTCAAATTTCATACAGTGAAATACTTTGTTTCTCAAATCATACCAGCCACATTTCAAGTGCTCAGTGGACCCAGGTGACCAGGGGCTGCCATATCGGACAGCACAGTACTGATCACGCCACCGCTACAGAGACTTCTGCTGGACAGCCCTGCTCTATATTAAGGTGCAGTGGGCCCAATTGGCTCCTTGTCACCGACATCCACACCCTTTTTCTCCCTGCTCCCCACCAGCTACCCATAGAGCTCAGAAGAAACTAGCTTCATCCTTGTATCTGGATCTGGCTAGTCAACACCAGTGCTAAGTCTCTAACGTGTCTTCACAGTGTTCAGAAACCCGGACTCTAGCCATTCTGGATGTGAATTTCCCCTGGGGCCCAGGAGAAGAAAAGTGACATAGATGGGCCCAGCCAGCCTGAAGGAAAGGACCCCAGTGACTGCAAGAGAGATACACCCTTCCAGGCCAGGCGTGAATTAGGACACCCATAGCCCTAGTTGCCGGGGGTGGCAGGGGAGCTATTTCACAATCATGTGATAAACCAGCATAGGATGAAGCCAGCTGTGTGGATAGCACAGTAAAGAATCAGAGGGCTTCCCTGGTGGCGCAGTGGTTGAGAGTCCGCCTGCGATGCAGAGGACACAGGTTCGTGCCCCGGTCTGGGAAGATCCCACATGCTGCGGAGCAGCTGGGCCCGTGAGCCATGGCCGCTGAGCCTGCATGTCCGGAGCCTGTGCTCTGCAGCGGGAGAGGCCACAACGGTGAGAGGCCCGCGTACCGCAAACAAAAAAAAAAAAAAAGAGAGAGAGATGTCACATAACAAAAGATAGTAAATTTGACATTGTTTAAGCCACTGTGTTGGATTTTCTGTTACGTGTAGCCCCAAACCACCTATTGTGATTCGATCAAAAAGTGGGAAAATAAAAAATATAAGGGGAGGGCAGCCTGATATTTCTCCCTACACACACAGCCCAATTCGCTCTTAGAGTTTTCTCTCAGAAAACCGCTCGCAGGCTCTAGAGACCAGGTTTCAGTAGTTGTGGCATGTGGGCTCAGTAGTTGTGGCTTGTGGGCTCTAGAGCGCAGGCTCAGTAGTTGCGGCTCGTGGGGTCAGTAGTTGTGGCTTGTGGGCTCTAGAGCGCAGGCTTAGTAGTTGTGGCACTTGGGCTCAGTAATTGTGGCTCGCGGGCTCTAGAGCGCAGGCTCAGTAGTTGTGGCTCATTGTCTTACTTGCTCCGCAGCATGTGGGATCTTCCCAGACCAGGGCTTGAACCCGTGTCCCCTGCATCGGCAGGCGGATTCGTAACCACGGTGCCACCAGGGAAGCCCTCTTAGAGTTTTCTGCCTGGCCCCTGTGATCAGTGAGCTTGCAGCCTGTGTACTAAGCCCCAAGAATTGAATACTTAAAAGAACTGATAGTTGATGTACGTTGAGTGTCACCACTTTGTTGGGTATACTTGTGATACGCCCCCTGTTCCTGAAAGTAGTTGTGTGAGTCTCTCCCATGCACCTAAAATAATCAAGTAAATAAAAGACTTAACTCACACAGCAGGCGTCCAGGGATAGGTGACACCGTCT